AAAAGAGTGAAAACCAGTTATTTATACATTGGATTGAAATTGCAATACTTATAGATTTTTATCAATTGATTTAATAATTACGGTAATTTCATACAGATATGAGTTTTAAAGTTATGAATTTATTTTTAAAAATTCATGACAACCATTTATTTAGATGTTAATCCCTGATGCTAATTTTAGACAAATGTAATATAAAAAATAAATAATGTTTAACTCCTAGTTAAAACATTAACATGTAATCCAAAATAAAATTAGCAGGGATTTACTGAAATCATGTGTTTTAAAAAAGATCAGTTAAGTTTTATTGTCAGCAATTACATCCAAAAATCCAAACATTAAACACATCGATAATGTTAAATTATTGTCCCTGAATATGTCATATAATGAATACAGTATAATATACTGCTATACGGTACTTATTCTTACAGTGCGTGAAAACATTAAAACTAAAATTACTTTGCTTCAATCAATAGATAACACATGAACGCAGAGTTAAATATATTCAATGTTTTATTTATTTATTATGTAAACAGAGAAACACGTGTTTTAGAAATTTCCAGATACAGTATATCTTTATAATTAAGTAATCAATAAATATAATGTACTTTATTACAAATAATTTATGTAATCAATGATTATTATTCATTATTGTTTAAATCTCCATAATATTTATTTCTAAGCGCGACATTCAATACCATTGTAAATAATTATAGATTTCAAAAATTGATTTTCATCAAATTTTATGACTGATCAGTGATCACTAATTTAGTTACTGCCAATAACTTACTGGTGTTAAAATGTCTTTAAATTTTTTTTCATTTGTCATTCAATTTATACTCTATAAGCAAATTATATGTGATTCAAAATTCTGTCAAATAAATTATTTGGAGACAGCCTTTAATCTAGACTTTAAAGACCAGAATAATAGCACTAAAAACTACATTCAATTGATGGGCACTGAATACAAATGGCTATTCAACTCATACACCGAGTCGTTGGGATGGCCTGTTTCACGCGATAATGGCTACGAAATATGGTCGGCATTTCACGTAACAGTAGGTCCCGAGTGTTCCGATGATTGTCGCGATATTCAGAAGTTAAAAGATTTATATTTTCAACTCTTCTATAATGGCAATAATAATTCAATCAAATATCAATTTTATCGATTGCATACATCAAATACCGAGACCAAAGTTGCCATAACTAACCGGTCAGACATGCCATGGGAGTGGAGTCCTAAAGGTGTTCAGTTGGACGAGTTTTTGAAGGGGTGGTCCCACCCGCTTAACTCAACTCCATTGCCCGTCTTATTTATACCGAAAATATATGAATTTTTATATGTTGTCAACGGAATGGATAATACTATGAGACCCACAGTATATCGCATTAGTCTGAGTAATAGACCGCAAAACTGGAGTAATTCATTCAAAATACAACAAATCGATGCGAAAGGACTCATAATTCGTGGAGTATTTCGCATTCAAGACATCGTTTACTTCATCGCTGATATGAATGAAGACATTTCTATAAGAGTTTCCACTATTTATCGATACGATTACACGCGTCACAGGAGACGACTCGTTCAAACAGATCTCACTTTAAGACAATTATTTAATGTCACAAAATGTGGACATCTTGTAAAATCTTTAGGGCTAACAAATGATCAAATTATGATTTTATTTATTGTGGCTATTATTGTGATTACAACTATAGTTGGCATCACTCTAGTAGTTATATCAAAAACCAAACGCTCAGCCAATCGTTTAACCACAAAAGCCAGTCGTATTGGAAATAATGCCAAAAGCGGTTCATCCGAGTCATTGATGACCGTACAGACCATAGCCTCGGATACCGGTATCCTAACCAGTGATAGTAATAGTGAAAAACCGATTACTGATAGTGAGAGCTCCAGTGTTAGTAGTGCTCCTGAAAGCAAGTCTTAGCAATTGCAATAATAATAAATATCTATACAGTATTTTAAAGGTTAATTACAAAATATTTTTTATTTTAATAGTTTAATATAAGTTCATTTAAATTTTAAATTTAATAAGTGTATAAGTTACTAAATTCCACAAAATAATCACAGAATATCACAGAATTTGCTATATTTTTCTAATTGAATAAATAAATTCAGTTTCCTTAACAGAAACAATACTTTTGAAGGTATGAATCGTCTATACAATCAGATTGTGTGCCATATTTATTAATGCGAGAAATATCACCAATTATCTTGAGTTTATCAAACATTTTACGTACTGTGGCCTCAAAGACGGCATAACTGGGTTTTACTATAAGTTTGATTAAGTAGTACTTCTGGTAATGGGTTTCATTTCTTTGCGATTCAAACGCTGAATGAATTTTATTGAACACTAATTTGTGACACAACTGGGACACCGGCATTAATAGTCGGTTCACTTCAGACACTATGAAGTTTGCAATGAATGTAATGTTTTCGTAGCTTTTGATTTGGTTGTGTTGTTGAGCACATGTACACCAGTGCTCCGATATCTGCTCGCTATCACAACTTCGGTTGACTGGGATCTCATTGAACAAAGACATGCCATGACTTAGATTTGGTTCAGCTTTTCCTAATAAATAGAAATAAATTTTTTAACATTAAATTCAAATATGAGTTAAAAGTGAAAACCTTTAGCGATATGCCTAAGAGTGGCGTAAATATCAAAAGGAGTTGTGAGTCGACGAGAGTTTATGCGAAGATATTTGTCTATTGAATCGCTTTTATAAGATTGCGGTAAATATATGTAAACGAATGGAAGTCTCTCCTCAAGAGTTCCCGAAGCAGTTGATCTCATTTTGCCAAACCTTATGCCGTGGTCTGAGTATAGGAACAGAATTGTATCGTTGAGTAGATTATTGTCAAAGAGTTGCGAAAGGAGTGTATAAACGGGTAGATCTGCATAACCGGCATAATTGGCGTTATTATGAGTTAAATGAGCCATAAATACAAATGCAAAGTATTTTTGTTGACGAGTTCTCATCGCACTTATGAAATCATATGTATAATTGTAGTAAAACTAATAAACATTAAAATATTCATTAAAATCCAATAATAATATTTA